CCTAAAAATGCTTACAAAATTGTGACGTGACGTGACAAAATCGAAAATGTGGATACGTATTTCTAAGCAGAATTTAACTCTGAACAAGAAAACCTAGGCGATATCCAAATTTGATGATAACTGGTTAGAGTTATTTCCCACGCCAGTTTGAAAAAACCCGTTTCGAGATAAACGCGTTTAAAGATAAAATGCTCTCTCAGCGCGCCGGTACATGTTTTAGGAAATCGCTTCGTAAAGCGGTAAGGAATATTCTGGCGGACTTGGAGTCTTTTCAAAATTAAAGTATACATCCCAAGGAACATTTTAAGCCAAAAAAAATGCATTTTTTTTTTGAAAAATCAAAGTGTACTCCCTCCTTAATGTATGTTGCGCTTAGTTGCTTCTAACAAAATTTAACCTTTGAGTAGATTGGTGTGTCTGTTCGATCCAGCTGTGTTTAACAAAAATCAATCCTTTGGAGCACCTGTCAGTAAATGCACGAATGGCAATGAATTAAAAGAAGAGAACGATGTTTCTTCCGAATACTGTACTTGTTGTTTGCTAGCTGGGCTAAAAGTGCAGTCTAGTTAGCGAATTCCACTCTCTAATTTGGCTAGCTTGTCAAACGTCAAAAAACACTGAGGTGAACTTCAATGGCTTGTTTGATCGACGTTATAAAAAATCCACGTCTATTGAGTTTAAACAGTGTAAAGTTTATTAATGATATTTGCACTGCATTGCACTTGCGATTTTAATAGGCTTAATGCTTTCGCTAAATACGCTTTCAAGTCTTGATTTCAGTGTGAAATGAAAATAATAACAAATTTATTTATATTAACGCTTAATATTCCATTCGAACGCCTCTCACCAAATGTCGAACGAAATGTCAAACTAAATGTACTTAATGTGACGTCTATTTTTGACGTATAAATGCTTTTTAACTGGGCTACAGCCGTAAAATTAGCTAGAAGTAACTTACAGATTTTTTTTTGGGAAATCGCTGCGTTTACTATTTCCCGAGTCCGCCTGCGAATTAGTTTTTAGTTAAGCGTATTACCCGTATAATTTTATAGCGGAGCTGGGTCTCAAAATGAGTTTAAGGAAAAGCAAATAATGGGATTAAAGACAACTGTTTCATATCCAAAATGCCGGGTAACCAGTGATCCGGGAAACCGAAAAACCGGGCTGAAGTCACCAGGAAAAAAACCGGAAAAATCCCGTGAATTTCGGTGACAAATCCGGAAAAATATGGTTCGTCCTCTCTTCGAAAAAAATGGGATTTTAAGACCCTTGGACTCGAATAGATTTTTAGGATACAGTCACTTTGAAGAACTATTAAGCGAATTTCAGATTTTTTTCCAAAACAAATTTGAACAGATTTTAGAACGAATTGTAGAAATAACACCGAGGTATTTCAGAGAACATTTTTAGAGAGATTTAGGAAAATCTCTACGAGAGTTTCGACATGCACTCCCATGTCAATTTAGTGAGTTCAGAGTTAAAATTGAAGCACTTCTCTAGAAAATTCCATGACGATGTGAAGAAGCCTTCAGGATTCGTTAAAAAATACCAAGGAATTGAATTTAGAGGGTACAGTTCCAAAGAAAATTCTGTGGATAATTCCATGCGCATTTCGAAAAGAATTTTTAGATAATTTTAAGGAGAGTTCCAAGCAATTTCCAGATGAATTAAGAGGAGAACCCCAAGATAAAACTGAGCAAAATTGGAGGACAATTTTCAACGGGAGAATTTCCCCTGCCCGATGGTGTTGGCAGGGAAAGGGGATTACAAGTTTTGCTCTCAAAAGCTAATAGGCCCTTTTCAATTGGTGGTCAAGAATTCTGAGGTGAATTTCATGGGAATTCTGCGGAGAATTCCGAGAATTAAAGCGAAATAAAAACAAAAGCTTCATTGAAAGAGTTTAAAATTCAAAGAGAAAAATATCCAGCAGGCACTAGTATAGTAATGAGGAAAGTAATAGCCGATGGGATTGCCAAAAACGGGAAGGACCGGCACCTGGAATTATTATGGAATTTACTGGAAAGTCAGGGAATATCAGGGAATTTGGTTTTCTTCATTGAGTCAACACCCTAATTATACACTACCCAAGTAACAATTTTGGTTTTATGAGGGTTCTGTAGACCATGATTTAGACTTGTAGCATGCTTTAAAATCACTATTAAACTAGCAATTTTACTTGGGTAGTATCGAAGACAACAAATCAAGAAGACTGGCAACTCTTCCATTTTCTCAAACGAACGGTATGAGACAGGTACAATCGCGTCATCTGCCGCTCAAAGGTAAATGCTTCGAACGAATTTGATAGCAAAGATTACATCCTCAGAAGAAGGGTTTGTGTAATTGCTCATTTTTCTATGCGTTGCTTCCACCTTTACTCAAGTGCAGTGCCATTGTATCTGTCGCTTGGATTCTGGAAAAGTTGCCAGTCTTCTTGATTTGCTGTCTTCGGTAGTATTCTCTTTTTAGTTCGTGCTGTGTTTTCTATACAAAAAAAGTTTAATCCTGTTTATCTCCTTAATTGAGGCCTATATCGCGATTTAAGGGGTTGTAGGTTCGAAATCTAAATTGCAATTTTTACACCGATTCGATGAAGGGTGAAATTTTTTACGTGTGAATTTTCGAAATCTTAGTTCGGTGAACATGGAAGAGCGATTGATTTTAAGCTTATGAAACATTACATATAATTCTTATGAGATCTTTTCCAATTATTTGTTTGAGCTTAATTCAATATTTACCAAATAACTGCTCGAGCTGGGCTAGTAAGCAATCAAGCGACTTTTGCTTACTCAATAGATCGGAAATCCATATCAAATCCTTCTCAAGAGCAGTTGTTGTCGTCGTTTGTGAGGTCGCCGCCGAAACCGAAATCTAGTAACAGCAAGTGGAACTTGGTCGTAATTGTTTTGTGAAATAAGGAGCTCGTTGGCCTTGTGGAGACCGATTCTGCTTGCTGAACAGAAAATCATGGGTTCAATCCCACGCTCCTTCACATTATAGAGTTATACTTTAAACCGCCTTTCTTTCATAATACGATGTTAAGCGTAAAGAAATCCGGTTGGAGAACCGAGAACGTAAAAGAAGTAATATTTGAGTTTTAGGAAATACGAGCTGGTCGGAAATCGATATCAAATCCTTCCCCATTTCAAGAGCAGTTGTTGTCGTTTTTGGTGGTGAGGTTGCCGCCGGGATAACAACAAGTTGAACGCAAACTTGATCGTAATTGTTTTGTGTATAAAGAGCTCGGTGGCCTAATGGCGACCGACTTTGCTTACGGAGCAGAAGACCGTGGGTTCAATCCCACGCTCCTTTGCGCTATTGAATCGTTAGGACATCACGTCAGCACATCATTTACCAAAACGAATCCTGCTGCAATCCCAACATACCAGTGATTTCTCGTGGAAGTGCAGAGGTGTTCTCGGCTTTCATTAAAGCGAGTATTACGTCAGCATATTCCTACCCATTCCTTTCTTGACCAGCATTCGGACGTGGTCGGCGCTGGTATTGCCTAATTTTAGATCACCAGTATTTACACATTGATAAATGCTAGTCCCAAGCAACGTCTATTGGTTCTCTGTGTTATTACAGCTGATCTGGCAATAACGGAGTTGCATCCAAGGGCGGTCAATCATGCTCATGCTCGTTAATCGAAAAGTAGATTAATTTCCGGTGATGCTTATGACATGTATGGGAGTTGTAACGTGATATGTATTGTTTACAAACAAAAAGAATAATGGTGATACATTCTTCTTGTACCATGAAAACACTTATAACATGTTACAGCTCTTTAGTCTAAACATGACATAAATTTAATAAAATTTTCATAAATTATGTTAAGGTTTCTGTTTATAAATGTTCTGTTTAACATTTAAAAGAGAAATCTACTGTTTTATCATTTCATGTCAAAAAATAAGTATGTATCATATTTAGAAGTAGTGTGGAATTCACCTTTAACTTACCAGAAAATTCGTTTGGAATTCTCTTCGTAATTACCATTAAATTCTCGTTGGAATTCCCTTGACACTTTGCTAAGGATTTTTTGAAATCCTTCTTAAAATTCTTTTGCAATTATTTTGAAAATTAGTTTCTTTTTAATTTCTTCTTCAACAAATGTTTGAACTAAATTTTCTTTGTAAAAACTAGGGGATACTAAGAAGCAAAGTGCACTTGATCGGTAGGACACGCGTGTGTGAGAAATTTTTGTCCGAATTTGGGGATTTGAAGCCATACGTTCCATTACATCTGGGAAATCCTTTGGAATTCTAAAATGAATTTGTAAATAGACGTATGTGCTTTTGCAAACATAGATTAAAACGTCAATTTCGCGAAACTCCCAACTCGTTCATGCTATCTAATATCACTTCAGTGTTGGAAAAATCATCAATCAAATGATATTTTTGCGCTCTCATACGCTCTCAATATCACGCGTGATACTGGATCAAAATATCATGCTTGATATTGATTTTACATGCTCCTTTGATATTGCAAGACTATTCACAACGTGCAAAAATCAAACAGAGAGTTGACTCGACACAAAAATGATTTCGTTGCACATCGTTTTCTTAGAAAGAGAAAGCATGGTTTGCTATCTTATCTCTCTTTACTCTTCACCGATGGCAGACACGAAGCTCATGCTGCCTGCGGTGACGGTAGTTTCGGGTCGCGGTTGGATGTAAAGCAAAAATCATGAAACTCAAACTTACCACGGTTTAGTTGGAATTGTGGCTGGTGAGTTTTTTAGCTTGATATTCGTAGCTACGCTTGGTTGTTGATTTTTGACAACGAAAATCAAGCGTTATCTTAGGGGCATTGGTGAGATTTATTTTTTTGATATTTTCACAACACAGAACGGAACTATCAATTCTACACTTTCATCTCCTCATCTATCGTATAAAATGTTCACTTTATGTCTGATATTGACGTTAAGAACCTTAAACTTTTTAGAACACTCTAAGAAACCTCAGTGATCTTTTTTTTAATGTTGAAATTTTAACACATTGCAGGTCATTCGTGGCTTCTCCGGGAATGAGATTTGGGCTCGTGACATACAGCGCGAGAGGCATTGATGCCAGGTCCGTCCGACAGAGAAGTGTACGAGGACTTCAGAGAAAGCTAAGGGAGCTTCAGAGGAGAGGAAAGCAAAATTCAAGCGACATTCAGGGTACTTCAGAGAGTATTACCAAAATTCAAGCTAACTTCAGGTAAGTTCAAAGGAATCTCGGAATGACTCAGGGCATTATCTTCAGAGATGGCCTGAGGAGTATTGGAGATGTTCAGCGAACCTAAGAGAGCAATTCAGTGAACTTCAGCGTTACTCAGGGATGGAACCTGGAAGAAGTTGAGGAGAAATTTATGGAATTCCAAGAAAACTAAAAATACGAGAAGTTCAACGAATTTCGGAGCAATTCGGGAAAAAAAATTAAGGAGAATAATAGAGGAAGAGGAAACAAATAGACGTAGGGATCATTAAAGAAGTTGAGGAGAACTTCAAAGAAGCCTAAGGAAGCTTAAAAAATCCATGGAAATGTAAGCGAAAACCAAGGAATCTATTACCCTAGAAGCAATTAGAGAAATTATGGGTACTTCTGTAACATTCAACAATCGTCAGAAAAGCTCAGAGAACTTTTGAATACTTATGCGCGCTTCACAAAATTTAATTTAACTTAAGAACTGACCAGGGAATCCTCAAAAAGCATTAGTAACGAAAAAGCACACAATAACTCTTGTAAAACTCCAGTGGAATCCACATTTAGGAAATTAGCAATCTTTACAGACTTTCAGCGATCTTCAGAAAAGTATGGCGAATAAATAACAGCACAGAGATCTTCAAAGTACTACTAAAAATTTCAATAATGATGCATTTAAAAATAAAACTCCAAAGTAGTTTAAGAAACCTTTAAAAGATGTAGGCTACTTCATGCATGTTGAAGAGAAATTCAGAAGAAACTTGAAAAAAAGGAGTCTAGAGATCTTCAAAAGCCGCAAGATGCTTAGGAAAAGCTTAGCAAAACTCAGATAATTCATAAGAATTTAATAGTAGCTTAGGTAACCCCAGAAAGACTTACGAAACACCTTAGAGAAGTTTTGGAGAAATTTAGAGAAATTCAGGAAATTCACAGAGAAGCCCAAGAAAACTTTAGAGATGTTCATAAAATCCTTATGCTATGTTTAAACTAGACAGTTATAACATGGGACAAGTCCGTCTTGATGAAATTTATCATGTCTATAATTATTATAACATGTAACCCAGGGCTTCACTGCAAACAAGATTTTAGGCAACTTCAGAGAACTTCAATGAACTTAAAAAAAAATCATTGGATCTCAGGTAGGTACAGTTAACATACATACATTTTTATGCATTTCAGGGGGCATTTGGGCAAAATAGACCATGAACTTTAACGCAATAATTTTGAACTGAGTAGATCATTGTGAAGTCATTGTGATCCTGGACACGAACCTGTAGCAAGGTGTTGGTGTGGTTTCCAGGTGTAATGTGGGTTCTTCGTTCTTGCACGAAATTGTGCCCGATCTTTATTGCTTTGAAGCACTTTCCCAGTTATCAATTGAGAGCTTTGTATGCAAACGCCATCATATTCTTGTATGCCCAGGGAAGTGCAGGAAAATATCTATCATTCACGATGATATTGACGAAACAGCTGAAATCTCCCTTTGATATATTGATTGACATTTAAGTGATTTTCAGTCGTAGTTGATCATTAGGGGTAGTGTCAGAAATGTTGCCTATCATCATTAAGTTTGCCGTAGAGTTTACTTAAATTCTCGTCCTTAGAATGGTCCCTGAAATTCTTTGAGGTTTGCCTCAGAATTCTCAGGAATTATTTTCATAGTCCCCATAATAGTCCCTTCCAAAACGTCTCAGAGCTCTCCTTTCAATTTTACTGAAATACTTCTCAAAATAATGTGGAATTCTTCTCATAACTTATTTGGAATTCTCATCATTTTTTTTTAGATAATTCCTCGAAGTGTCAGAATGCTCAATTGTTGTTTAATTTTATGAGTCATGATTGTTTTTAAAATCTGGGAACATAAAAATTACGTTATGTTTGTTATTTTGAAAAGTTTTTCTGTAAATTTACTAAGTTCAATCTATCTCTTTATAACAATCAGTTCGATGACCTTACACAAAAAAAATTAAATTTTATTCGACTAGTTATCTATTTTTTTTTAATAATTTAAAATTTACAATGTTTTTTACTATATTTAGCTGTTTAAATGAAACTAGGAAATCTTGGACATCCGGGAAAAACCAAGAAAACGGGAATTCAATTTCTTGAATGCAATGGCCACCCTGACTATGGCTAAGATTTTCAACTGTAGTTTATTCTTCTTCTTCTTCTTCTCATACTTATTCTTCTTCTTGAAATGAGACGGAATAATTATGGAATGGAATGGACTAACCTTATTTATCCTTCTATTATTTGCTGCTCATTCCCTTTTTCAGACCAGCAAATGTTAAGATTTTTTTCCGAAATTCGGCCTTATGACCATTCAGGCTAATGACAAGATTATTTTTCATATTAGGACAAATCGGGTGATTATCCGTTATGTAGTGTGCATTTTAAACAATACTACACATATTATACAGCTTAGCATTGCAAATCATGTTGGTAACGATTTATGTATGTCAAAGAATATTCCAAAGCTTACTTTTTTATGGTAGTCACTTTAACGCTCTTGGGTCATTCGGGACTTGTCCGGGGTGAGATTTTAGCTCGTGACTTTGGCGTTAGAGGCATGGATGCTAACCACTACGCCGGAGTCTCCCCATCTTACTTATTATTGGTAAGCAATAATCGGAACAAGTAATAAATTTAAGGTCTGGTGTTTTTTAATCAGTCCAAAAATATTAAGCTTATCCTCCGCGAAGCAGTTGTTGCTATTATCTGACACTTTAATATGAAAAATCGACATTTTGATTGCCATCGATACTTGAATAGTTTCACGTATGCATGTCAAACATTTTTTGTCGATTTCCAAAATTATAGCACATCACTGTATACATAAGAACCTCATTATGAATAAAACCAAACACCTCACCAAGAAATTTTTTTAAATCTTCTGAGTGGTTTAAAATGAATATTTATTCGACATATCTAACATTTCTCCAAATTCGGTTGAAGTTTAAAATTTAGGTATTTGTAAATGTCTACAAAATCTAAATCTTTGACCATTTTCGTTTGTCTCTTTGGAATCTGATTTTGTATTGAATCATTGAATCGTAAAAAAAATTCAATTGTGAAAGCTGGGATTGTTTGTTCAAGATCTCGATTTATTTGTCTAAATCATACAATTTTAATAATTTTTTAATTGTTCCAGATATAAGAAAATCTAAGTCCCTTTGTGTAATGTTTTTCAAGTTTAGGATCTTTATTTCTGCCTATATCTCAGGATCTACGATGTTTTTTTTTTCCATATTTAGGATCTTCAACATTTTTGTTTGCCTTTAAATTATAATCTAATAAAATAATCATGCTTTTGAAGATATTTTTTTAAGAATCCGAACATTTTAGGCACGCTTTTTCCATGTCCAATGATTTATTTTTTTTCTTGGTTCTTCATCTCGCAACTTTATAGAAGGCTTACAATATCGAAAGTGTTTCTTCATTCTGGTTTGAGTTTGGTTTGAGTTTGACACTTTTAAAAGTTTTTTTATTATGAATTTTAAATTTACCTGTATCTTGCATAGCTATTTTTATAAATTCGCCTACCTAAGTTTTCTGTAAGAAGTATCGCAAATTAATCTAAGACGCTAACCTCCTTTAGTATTTTTAAATGTTATTTATTAAAGAATATGAAAATCAAAAAGACAAACATCCATGGATTTATGAAATCTCTATGAAACTTTCCAAAGTGTTAAAGCTTGAAAATAATCGAAGCCCTAGAATCCTAATTAATTCCCCTACCAGTATCTAATGAGGGATTTCATGAAAAAATCATTTAGTTACTATTAATTACTTTTTTTTAGTTTGGCGTCCAAGAGTTAAAGAGTATTGTAAACTATTTAAGTTGTAATATTTTATAGAAAACCAAAAATTAAAATACATTGTTTAGAATTTTGAATATTTGTTAATGCCTGGGATCTTCCATAAACAATTCTGAAAACTCGGGAGAACCGGGAAGACACCGGGAAATTGATTTGAATTTTACAATAAATTGTTCTGCTTTAAGCATTTATTAATCGAATTCAGCTAATGAACATTAGAAGTCTGATATCTTGAATATTCCTTCTTTTTATTCTTCTTCTTCTTCTTCTCATTTCAAACTTACTGCCTATCGCATATTAGCTTATTGCGTGCTCTCAACTTAGTGTTCTGGATGCACTTCTACAGTTATTAATTGAGAGCTTTCGATGCCTGTACCATTTTTGCATTAGTATGATTGTACGACAAGTACAATATTCCTTCAATTCGCATATCTAAACTTTCTTCATACAAGATACCAAAAATTAAGTCTGAGATCTAAACAAATTATTCATGTACCAGAATTTGTCTCGACATGTTTTAAAAACAATTTCAGGAAGAATTCTTGACAAACTTCAAGCCTCAAGTGCCACAGACTCTATAGAATTTTTCTCCAGATGTCTTTTAAGATTACCTCAGAATTGGATTGCAGTTCTCTTCGGAATTATATAGCAATTGTCTTTAGGATTCTCTTGATGTTGGTTTCTCAAATTGCCTTGGAATTCACATCAGAGTTCCGTGAGACTATTTCTCATATTTCCCTTAAAAGAATGCATTAGGGAGGGTTTCCTTGGAATGCTCTTCGAAATCATGTTCAAAAATTTCTTGGAATTTTCTTCCTGCTCTTACTGGAAGTATGTTCAAAATTCCCTTTGAATTGTTATTTTTTGGATTCCTTCCCGAAATTTCCTAAGAACTCCCTTGGAACTATCTTCAAACTTGGTTGAAATTCAGTAAAGATTTGTTTTTGCTATCGTCAGAATAAGATTGGAATAAGTATCGATATTTACATAGAGCTCTCTGCAGAATTTTCTTTTTAATTGATTGATATTTAAGAGATTTTCTTCCGTATGCTGATTCGTTTCTGAAAAAAAAAATTGAAAATATCGAAAGGGACCCTGAGTATAACTTTGATCTTTATCTTTGAATACTCTTCTGAATCCCCTTACAAAATTCTCCCTAAAATTCCTTCAAATTTGTCTTTGGTTTCCCTGCAATTC